TCCTTTCTAATGGGACATATATTCCCTTGCTGTTTCCTGTTACGATACCTTGTCTGCAAGTCTGGCATAATGCTCTTAATAATCAGCTCTAAATCCATAATTTAAAAGTATCACATTGCTCTTGCTTTTTTCCCAACTTTCATAGCCATGCACATCACTGAAAAGTTAATTGTTAACATATTTCTGTTATTTGTTTTCATGAAATATCTTTGTCACTTCAAGAGATAGAAGGTGCAGCTTCAAGGAAAGATATATCACAGGTAATCCAAATTGCATCCATTTGTTTGGTGACCATTCCAACTTACGACAACACTGAAAAAAGTGACTTATGACCAGTCCCCTCACTTACGACTCTCCAGCATTTACTGCTCAGGTGGTCTGTGGGAATAGAGCTCAGATCTTCAGAATCTGTGCTGTTTCTGCATCCTGCCAAAATTGTTCAGCTCCACTCAGCAGGCAGGTCTTTTACTTAGTTCCCAGAGATAAGAGGGAATCCTCTTGATAGACAGCAGCAGCTTTTCCTGCTGGGTGCTGATGTCTATCCGCTTGATAGACTTTCTGAGGAAGCTGGCAGAGATTGTACAATCATGGGGCACTTTGTAACTAGTTGTAAGTGAGAACAGGTTGCCAAGCACCCATATTACAATCATGTAACTGCGGGTGTGTGTGTGTGAATGATGCAACATTTTATGACAGATGAAAGGACTTCTTTGGTCATAAAGCACCCTTTCCCAGTCCCTTGTAACTTTGGATGATTGTTAAAAAGGCTGTCATAAATCAAGGATTATGTATAGAAAGATAGTAGAAAGTGGTTCTAGACTGATCTTTCCAAAAGTTAAGGGTCTTACCTAGTGGCATAGGCATGCAAGAAAGGCTTAAGAACTGAATAGGCCAAGTGATGGAATCACATCTGATGGGAAAACAAAAAAATGTATATATTGAGCTTTTCTGTAAAATGATATAAATGACATCAGATTACATCTTTTTAAATAGGTGATTTGTAGAAGTTTGAAATTACTCTTAAATTGCTTTTCATTATATCATGGAGACTTTCCAACTTGGATATCCAGAATCTCTAGCTTGGGAAAAATATACATTACAAATGGATTCTGAATAACTGATCATAGATGACAGATGATAATGGAAAACTATTGATAATTAAACTTGCTGACATAGTTGTCTATGTCCCTTAAAATGCTGATTGATAAATCAGGCACTTTAGGTGTATAGTAGTATTCCTTATTTCCAGTAACCATTGGAATATGCTTTGAAAACCCTAGTGATTGCTTAGATATTTTTTATGAGACTGTACAGGTTAGTCATCGACTTACAATCATTTATTTAGTGACCGTTTGAAGTTGCAACAGTGCTGAAAAAAGTGACCTATGACTGTTTTTCATACTTAATGATTGTTGCAATATACCCATGGTCACAGGATCAAAATTTAGATGTGTAGCAACTGGCCTGTATTTATGACAGTTGCACTGTCCCATGGTCATGTAATTACATTTGTATCTTTCCCAGTCAGCTTTTTACAAGCAAAATCAATAGAAATCAGATTCACTTAACAACTGCAGTGATTCACTTAACAACTGTGGCAAACAGATTGTAAAATGTGGCAAAACTGACTAACCAACTGCCTTGCTTAGCAGTAAAAATGTTGAGCTCAATCGTTGTATAAGTCAAAGAATACATGTAATTTGATGTTGGGGTAATTTTAAGAGTTAAGTAACATGCCTCAATTTATGGTTTTTTTTTCTTAATGTTTTTTGCATGTCTAATAAAAAGATGAGTAGAAGATGACATGATAACTATCCTGACTTTTATTCTAGCTTGAAAAGTGATATGGTAGTCTCAAGATTCATAAAATGTACATTATGCGAAAGTTCTGCTGGTAGAAGATAAGAGATATTAGGCACAGGTCATTTGTCTCTCTATGATGATACCTATTTCCAAACTCTGGAGCCGTTTAGTTTAGTTTAGTTTAGTTTAGTTTAGTTTAGTTTAGTTTAGT